CTGCGGGGGCCGGGAACGGCCACTGCACTCCAGTCTGGGCGACAGAGTGAGACTCCAACTCAAAAAAAAAAGAAACTACTACACCGTTTCCCACAGGGGAGAATCCCACTCTTCGTGGCCACCATCACTTGGTGTCGTCAGTCCCTTTCACCTGAGCTGCTCTAATAGTGGGAGAGCTTGTTGTATTCGATGACTGGTGTGGAGCACTTTTTCACAGGTTGGCCTGGCTTTTGCTTTGTTTTGGAGTTGGGGGGGTCTCACTCTGTTGCCCAGGTTGCAGTGCAGTAGCATGGTCATAGCTCACTGCAGCCTCAGCCTCCTGGGCTCAGATGATCCTTCTGCCTCAGCCTCCCAAGTACCTGGGACTACAGGTGTGCACCATCATGCCTGGCTAATGTTTTGATTTTTTTGTAGAGACATGGTCTTATTATGTTTTTTTGTAGAGGCTTGGCTTGAACTCCTGGCCTCAAACAATCCTCCACCTCAGTCTCCCAAAGTGCTGGGATTACAGACGTGAGCCACCATGCCAGGCCAAAGCCTGTGTTGTTTTTTTTTAGCCCATCCAGGCAGCCCCAGAACAGGTAGGTGGGAGAGTGACCAGTGAGGAGGATGTTGCCACAGCCCAGGTGCAAGATGGACGCCCGAGTTAGACTGAGGCCATACGAGGCAGGGGAGGGGATGGAGAGCTGGCCAGAAGGACTGGTGGGAGGGTGAGCATGGGCACAGGCTCTGGGCCCAACTCTCTGGATACTGGGCTGCCAGTCGCAAACATCCTATCTCTGAGTGGCTTAGGAATGCTCCTTATCTCCTAAGCCGTCCTGAGGCTGGGCCAAGGCTGGGTGACTGGAAGGCTTGAGGGCCCTGACTCTTCTTTCTGCTCTGCCATTTCCAATACATTGACGAGGCCAGATGGCAGCAAGGCCAGGAAAGAGGCTCCCTTCCTTGTGCCCCTTTCTACGAGTACGGAAAACCTCCCCAGATGCCCCCCAACTCCCACCCAAGGCCGCCTCGTGCATTTCGTGGCTGGAATGGAATCCCATATGCACTCCTGACCCCGTCACTGCGAAGGAGTGGATCCGTTCTCCCCACGCTCATGAGGGCTCTCCTGTGGGTCTTCCCTGAACCAGCTGGGGTCTTTAGGAGATACTCTTGCTGTTGCCTGTCTGGTGTACCCTTCCTGATTTTTCCATCTGCCAGAGCCCTATTTCAAAGCCGTTTTTTTGTTTTGGTTTTTGTTTTTGAATTGGAGTGTCACTCTGTCGCCCAGGATGGAGTGCAGTGGCACGCTGCTCATGGCCACCACAGCTTCCACTTGCTGGGCTCAGGTGATCCTTCCACTTCAGCCTTCCAAGTAGCTGGAACTACAGGCGTGCGCCACCACACCCAGCTAATTTTTTGTCTTACCGTAGAGAATATGGCTGGTCTTGAAGCCGTGGGCTCAGGCAATCCTCCCGCTTATGCCTCCCAAAGTGCTGGGATTACATGCCCAGCTCAAAGCCGCTTTCAGAATCACTCTTCAATCTGCCAGCTGGGTCAGGGTCTCTTCTGGGTACTCACAACCTCCTGAGACTCCAGTGGCTGTGGCCTGGTTCTGTGGCTCAGAAATGGGGCCTCGTCCTACCCCCACATGGGACCATGGTCAGCACAGTCAGCTGTGGTGAGGCCTTTCAGTCTAGTGGACCTGGGCCTGGGGTGGCCACATCCATTGCCCCCAGCCCGACCCCTGTCCAGGATGTGGGGGTGAGAGAGACAGGACTGGGGTTGAGAGAAAGGCACCGGTTTGATGGAGAAGCAAACTGAGGCTCAGAGAGGAGACGTGACTTGCCCAAAGTCATGGTCAGGGGCAGTCTTAGTTCCTGGCCTCTGCAAGGTCTGGGCCCCGCCCCCGACTCCAGGGCTCCTCAGACTTCAAGGTTCTTGCGACTCACTGGGGCACCCTGTTAAAATGCAGACTCTGATTCAGCAGATCAGGGGGTGGAGCTGGACTTGCTATTTCTGTGAAGCCCCCTGCTGTTGGCCCGCAGGCCACACTGGCAACACCAGTGTCCTCACTGCAGAGGCCTGGGTTCTGAACCTGCCCTCAAAAGCTCACATGCACACTTCAGGAAGGGTGGGTGTGGGTGGATGTGTGGGGAAGCCACTTCAAGAAGCCCCGATCTCCACTCCTGTTCTGTCCAGCCACCCAGGACGCCAGAGCTGCTGGAATGTTTTATTAAGTTAAGGTTCGGGGAGCAGGAGGGAAATGCCTTCACTGTGGCTCCAGCAGTTCCATGCCCAGCACTCCTCCGAGGAGGCTGTGGGTGTGGGGATGGCCGCTGGTTCCCTCTGTCCATCTGTCCCTCTGTCCCGAGTCCCAGGGTGTGAGTCTGTCCAGGGCAGGAAGTGTTAGTGGGAGGTAGGGTAGGAAGAGGATGGCCGGCTCCCGCCTCTCCCCCAAGAGACAACCCGCCAGGTTACTGCCTGCGCCTCCGCCAGACTCCTGGGGCAGGATCATGGTCCAGAGGCCCAAGCAGAGAGTGGCTGGAGACAGGGGAGTCGAGGCTGGAGGCACACGGCCATCAGGAATTGCTTTTTTAAAAAGTATAAAGTGTTTTGGGAAAAAAAAGGAAAAATCTATATAAAAATCTCTTCACATATAAAATCCTGAAGAAGGTGCAAGGTAAGACCCAGTGCGAGGGGCGCGCTCAGATACGCAGGGTGTGTGTGTGTGTGTGTGTGTGTGTGAGAGAGATATGTACGTATGTGTTGTATGTGGTGGGTGTGAGTACATGTGTGGCCCACAGAGGGTGGGGAGAAAGCTTGGCTTCTGACTTCCATCCAGCAGGGAAAGAGGGCGGCTGGTCCCTTGGACTGGAGGGTTTGCAGCTGCACTGGACCATGAGGACCTGGAAGATAGGGAGGGACAGCATGAGGCCCAGGGAGGCCTCCCAGCCTGGCCCCACCTGACTTAGGCCAGCCAAGCATGGTAAGTGGCTGCCTCCCAGACCCGAAGGCTGAGCCAGGTCTATGCTCCTCCAGTTCCTCCCCAAATAGTCTGGACCACAGGGCAGCCTCTCCCATGGGCCTTGGGAGTCCACAAGGCCTTGTCACAAAAAGGACACTCCAGTTGGCAGGTGTGAGGAAAAGGGAAAGAGGCATGCTTTAGGGCCTGCTAGATCAAGAGCCATGGGAGACCAACAGGCAGAGTCCCAGGCTTGGTAAGGGCCATCTGAAGGGAGAGCTGGGAGTGGACCCGGCAGATCGGTGGGGTGTAGACTGGCGTGGGAACTGCCAGGTTCTGGCTCCCGAACTGCCCTTCCCACCCCTGAAGAAACAGCTCAAGGTGACAAAGCAGCCTCTGGCCCAAGTCTGACTGCATCTCTGCAACAAGCCCGTGCTGCTGGGGATATCGTCCCATTTACAGAAAGGGACGGGGCAGCCAGGAGAAGGAGGTGCCCTGGCCCAGGTGGCCAGCGAGTCCCTGCTGTGGGTGAGCTGTGGGTTCATCCCCACAGGCCCAGCAACCCTGGCCACAGCCTCGCCCATCCCGTGGGGCCCTCCCCGCAGCACCCACCTCTACTCCGCCAGGCTGTTGCGCATGGACTCCTTCTCCTGCAGGGCTGCCATGGCGAGGCGCAGATGCTCTTTCAGCTGCTCGATCTCCCGCTCTGATCGCGTCTTGATGTGGTTCAACTCCACGTAGACGTCCTGGTACTTTCCCGAGGCAAAGCGCTTGTCCTGGGGGGCGTGCCAGGGGCCAGTATGTATGTGCCCCTGTTCTCTGCACCAGTCGCCAGGCTCCCCACAGCCCCGGCCGTGGGCACAACACTCCCAGTACCACCCAAGGACACAGGTTTCACTGTCATTCTCATCCCACTCAAGAGGTGAGAGCTGAGGCTTTGGGAGGTGAAGCTTTCTACCACAGGGCAGGGATGGTGGAGGCGAGTGCCAGGCCGGCCTGGCCAGTGTTTGGGTTCTCCTGGGACTGAATGCTACCTGTCCTTCAGGGGAGTGAACATGGGTTCAGCTCCTGGCCACAGAGCCACAAACATGCCCACTTCCAGTCCCAAACTGGCAGAGAGCTCCAGTAGAGGGACAGGACAGCCAAGGATGGGCCTGGCAAGCCAGACTCAGGCCTGGGCTGAGTCCCGGCCCTCCGTACTCCTAGCAATATGGATGATTCCTTGCCAGAATGCAAGCTCCACAGGACAGTGATTTTGGTCTATTCTGTTCACAGCTGCATCCCCACACCCAGCATTTCTTGGCACATAGTAGGTGCTCAATAATTACACACAAATTAATGCTAAATAAACAAGACTGAGTGTGGCCTTGGGCAAGCCACTTCCTCTTCCTTAGCCTGTTTCCTGTGAATGAGAATAATGGCACCTATGTCGGAGAGGCACAAAGAGAGCCTGAAGAAATGATGCGGCCAGGAGGGTGCCTGGCACCGAGCAGGTGCTCACAGGCTGGGCTCCCTGCACCCCGACCCCACCAGCCGGGCCTTACCTTCTGCATCATCTGGAGCTCGTCCCGGAGGCACTGCACCTCCTTCTTCAGGTACTGAAGTTCATTCTCCTTCACTCGTAGCAGCACCTGGGGTCATGGGTGTCAGGCTGACCCAGGGCCAGAAGCCAGAGGTGCTCTGGCCCACAGCACCCATGGCTTGGCTTCTCCCTGCCTCAGGCCCCCAGAATGTAGCCCTTAACCTGCACCCAGACTCCCAACATGCTGGAGGCAGCCTCCTCCCAGAAGCCCTCTCTGATTCTCCTGCTCTCCCTTCCCCCTAACACTCAGTCCAGCCTGTGGGAGGGGGTACCTCATGGTCATCTCTGCTGTAGCTCCCACATAGCACTGGCCTTCAAAGGGGGTGAGAAGGAGGAAAGAAGCCGTACTATGGCCCTACTTGAACCGGAGCAGGCTGATCCTCTGGCAGGCCACCCCAATAACTTCTCCCCAGCTCTGAGCGGCAGGTGCTGCTGACTCGAGCAAGGAGGAGACAGGTCCAGCCAGGACTGGGAAGGCTTAAAAGCTTAGACCAAAGCCAAACTGCCTGGTTCAAATCTCAGCTCTAGCCTGCAGTCTTTGGTAAGGTATTTGACCTCTCTGTGCCACAGATTCCTCATTGCAAGCGGGAACACTGACAATCTAATGTAGGGGCTGTGAGGAAGATCAGATGAGTTCACAAAGAAAGCCTACAGAAGCTCTAGGTACAGAGTGCAGGCTGATGCAAGTGGTTATTAAAAAAATTAAGAAAACACCAGGGTGATTCTGGGATTACACATTTCCTCACTGCACTTCTCCTGGTAAGAGAGGTGCTAGCATCATTTATATATGAACTACTGGGATTCAGAGAGGTGGGGTGACTTGCCACAGTCACATGGCAGGTAGGTGATAGGACTGGGATGGGAGGGCAGGACTCTGCCTCTAGGCACACAGTAGGTGTTCTGGATCAGCTGAGCAGCCCAGCCCCTGGGAGACTTGGTGCTCCCCACCGCAGGTGACACCCCGCCTGTGTGTGGTGGGGTGGTCCACAAGCCCCAGGCCCTGAGAACTGCCAGGCTACCTGACACAAGGGAGGGTGCTCACCTCCAGTTCGCAGGAGCTCCGCTCACTGCTGCGCCCATAGCCACTGCCTGCCCCCTGCGAGGCGATGAAGCTGCGCAGCCGGTCGATTTCCTCTGAGAGACGGGTGTGCAGCTCCTGGGAGGAACAGGGTAGTCAGGGCAGGGATGCTGCAACACACCTGTGCCCCCAACCTGGGGCCGGGCCTACCTGGTTGTGGCGCAGCAGCTCCTGGCCCTCCTGCTGGCAGCGCCGCAGTGTGTGCTCACGTTCCTCAGCCTGCTGTGTCAGCGCCCCAATCTCCAGGCACTTCTGCGAGTACTGCTCCGATAGCACCTGCAGCTCCCGCTTCAGCGCCTCCACGTCTGACCTGCCCCACGGGGGAGAGGACAGCATAGGTTCTCTTGCCTCCTTCCAACCCTGGAGTTGGGTCATGGCCGACTCAAAGCAGCTCAGGACTCTGGGGTTCCCTCCTTAGTTTTGTCTTCAGCCTGCTGTGGGCTGTGAACCAGTGATAGCCTCTCCAGTTTACAGGTGTCTCTTCTATGAGAGGGTGGCTTGGAGGAGCCCATCTCTAAATCTCCCAAAGCCCCAACATTCCTGAACTGTGCTCTGTGGCAGGGAGAGACACCTACTGGTTGACAGTGACATTGCAGCCCAGCTCGAGGGGACACTAAAGGGGCAAAGAGGAGGGTAGAGGCCAGGACCAGACAGGATATGAAGGGGCCCGAAGAATTGTCTAGGAGGACTGGCATGGAGGTCTGGTGGAGCCCCCCACTACTTCTGTTCCTTGTGTCCATGAGACTGGAGCTGGAGTCTTAGGTGCTGTCAAACTGATGTGTCTCTTGCCAAGGGGCACCAGCAAAGTTCCCCAACTCATAACCACCAGGTGGACAGCTGGGCCCAGGAGCCATCTTACTGGTGCTGCTTCCGGAGGCCATCTGGGCCCTGCTGGAGACTCCGTGTTTTGCTCAGCTCGCGGCTCAGTTCTTCCTGGTAGGCCTTCTTCATGGCTTCGATGGCTGGAAACAAGGTAGAGAGGTAGGGTGAGATTGGAGAGGGGTAGCAACACCAAGTCCCATCTCCTCCAAGTCTCCACATGTAGTGGTAGAGAGAGGACTAGGGAGTGGTGGGTAAAGAGCAATGGACCAAGAGTCCAGAGCGTGCCAAGTTGTATCATGAACTGAGTGGCTTTGGGTAAGTTTCTCAACCTCTCTGAGCCTATCTATCAAGGGAGGATAATCCTGTCTGATGGACCCTACCAAGGAGACACCTCAGTGTCTAAGCATTGGAACCTCCTGTTGCTAGCGATTTCTGGGCAGGATTCCACACAGCACAGCATCCCTGCAGAGGCTAGAGGGCTCTTGAACAAGGTCCATCTGCCTAACCCAGCCTAGTGGTCAAGAGCTTGGGCTCTGCAGTCAGGACAAATGTCCTCACTATGTGACTTTGCACAGGTGATGGTAACCCCTTTGTGCCTCAGGTCCCTTATCTGGAAAATGGGGTAACAACAGCACCTTCCTTCCATGGGATATTGGACAACGTGTGTGGAGAATTTATTTCAAGGCATGGCTCGAGGCAAATGCCTAAACATCAGCTCCCACTGGCTTAATTTCTCACACTGTGAGCTCCAAGGATTGAGGCTTTTTTTTTTTTACGCACACATAGGGTTGTGAGAATTCAGCAAGACTCATCCATAGTTTTATTCACAATTCTGAAATCCAAAAGCTCTAAACATCAAAAGTTTCTTTCATCATTCTTTTGGTGGCAGTCCTCAACCTGAATGGACACAAGGCTAAGTTATGGTCTTTATTTATTCCACTTAAGTGTGACTTTCATCAGTTTCCTTGAAGGAACCTCAGTGTGAGATTACGGGGTGAAGCCAGACCCTGCTGAAGGGAAGGAGGATCTAACACAAGCAGCCCTCACTGGGGGGGTCTTCCTAAAACGCAAAATGCACTGGGCCGGGTTTGAGCGCATGAGCACTTGGCACAGACAGCATCAGCAGGTTGTGACCTCTAGACCATGTCATTTCTTCCATAATTTCTATTATTCTGCAAACCCTTCGGTGGTGCCTAGGATGTGCCAGGCACACGCAGGAGGTGTGCAGTGGACAGAGGGAGGGGAGGGAGTTGCCCACAATCTCCGGTGTTTTTTGTTCCTGGCTTGGGAGAATAGAGGGTGGGGTCAGAGCATGGCTCTGTAGTCAGGGTCTGGGCTCCCATCCCAGCTCTGCCACCTCTAAGCTGTGCCATCTGGGACAAGTCACTAAACTCTCTGAGTTCCTGTTTCTTCATTTGTGAAATGAGGCCACACCCTGGGGCACTGCCAGGATGAAGGATGCTCCTGTGGGAAACATGTGGGACATGCAGGCTTGGGCAGTGCTCACACCTTCCCCCTGCTCTCCTAGGGTCTGGTCCATGAACCTAGGGAGATGGCACTCTTAGGAGGACAGGCTCTGAGGCTGACCAGTCTCTCTCTCCCCCAGCATGTAGCTTGAGGTAGACTCCTCAGGGCTGCAGGTCCCTGAGACAGAGGAGTTATAACTCATAGAAGTGGGGGAGGAGGTCTTTTACTGCCTCAGTTTCTCTTTCCAGGTAGGGGCTGAGGCCAGTTCTGGGAGCTTCCAACCTCTCTTGACCCTTTGCCCCAAATCTGGCACCAAGACTCCCACCCTTGTTTAAAGCCTCCTCGGTTTGCTAGGAGGCTGAGGGTGGAGGCTCAGGGCCCAGGCCACTGTGCCACCCCCTCCCCAGGGTCTGCACCTGAGGCTGTAGCTGCTGTCTCCTCAGCCAGGAGCCATTCCTTCTCCTGCTGCAGCCGCTGCAGCTCCCGCTCGTGGTGCCGCTGCAGCTCCTCCATCACCTGCTGGTGTGAGGACTCCATCTCTGCCAGGCTGCGCTCACACGCCTCCTGTGGGCCAGAGGCCAGGAGGTCACGAGCTGGCTCCAGTGTCCCAAGACAATGGCCCTTCCCCAGCCTCCAGGCAAGACGCCTTAAGGGCAGGCATACCACCTCTCCCTAGACCCTGGTACCTCCAGCTTGCACCTGCCCCTGTCACCCTCCCCCCACCCCACCCTCCTCATCTGCACACTTTCCCTGTCATTCCTGCCTTAAGTCCTCTGGGGACTCCCCATCCTGCGGGGTCAAGTTCCTGCTCCCACGGCTGACCCCTGTGGCCTCACCCCCAGTCCCTCTCCACTAAGCAACCTCATGGTTATTTAAAAAACACACACAGAGAGCTTGTTCACACCTCTAAGTCCTAGCTCATGCTATTCCTGCTACCTGGAACATTATTTTGGCAACTTTCTCTCCCTGGGTAATTCACTTGGCTTACAGCCCAGTTTAAAGGTTTCTCCTAGCTCTGTCTCTGGGTAGTTTCTCCTCTGCCTTCAAAGATTCTGCTTCTGTCAAACTGCAAGTTTCCTTTAGACAGGGAATATCTGACCTAGTAAAGTCAGGCTTAGTAGACAAGACAGACAAGTATTTAAAAGACTGATAATACCCACTGCTGGGAGCACACCACCATCACGGGTTGCATAGGTGAGGTCTGGTGGCGTCATCGTCAACAACCCCATCCCCGGACCTAGCAGATCGACTCCTAGGAATGATCCTACAGAAAGCACATGTGTGCAGACTCGGGACAAGGGTATTCCCTACGGCAAAGTTCCTAACAGACAAAACTGGAAACAACCTAAATGCCTACCAGGGAACCCTTAAATAAATGATGGGCTCGAGCCTTACAAAGGCGTAGGCAGCTGTTAAAAGACAGAGCTGCCATGTGAACGGCTACGGAAACGTGTCCTAAAAGTTAGGTGACAAGAGCTACCTTCTGACCACACATGTAGTATGGGCCCACTCATGGGAACAACATGTAGAACTGTACATTAAGGGCATGTACACGGAAACACAGAAGGATAGATAGGTAGGAAGGATGAGACAGGAGGCAGAATAACAGCCCCCCAAAGATGTCCATGTCCTACTCCCTGGGATACGGGGCTATGTCATGTTACATGGCAAGGGGGAATCAAGGCTGCAGGGAGAATTACGGCTGCGAATCAGGTGACCTTAAAGTCGGGAGATCAGCCTAGATTATGTGGTGAGACCAAGGTAATCACAAACGTCCTCAGAAGTGGATGCAGTAGGCAGACTGAAGAGTCCCAGGGAGACAGTGTAACCAGGAAAGAAGAGTCAGAGCGAGGGAGGGAAAAGGACTTCCCCTTGCAGGCTCTGAAGATAGAGGAAGGGGCCAGGAGCCAAGGAATGCGGGGGAACTCCAGAAGCTGGAGGCGGCAGGGGCTCCCACCCAGACCTTCCAGAAGGGAACCCAGTCCTGCTGATGCCCCAGGTGGAGACCAGTATGACCCATGTCAGCCTCTAGGCTACAAAACTGTCAGGTAATACATGTGCATTATTCAAGCAGCTGTGGTCATCTGTTACAGCAGCTACAGAAAAGGGATACAGACAGGCTGCAACAGCCACGGAGGTGACTCCTGGGTGGGCGCCTGCATGTGTTCATTTCCAACCTTTTGATTTGTTTGAATTGTTTTTTAAAAATGTAAAACATGTTTTTTAAATATAATTAGAAAATGTGTAAGATAATTAAAAAGGGAAGGGGGCAGCCAAAGAAGAAACTGAGGCAGAGGGACAGATGAGGGACTGTATTTCCCCACGAACAACACACCTCCAGCAGCCACACCCAGGCTGCAGTGGCCAGTATAGGGGAAGGGCCAGGGCCAGGTGTCCAGAGTGGGTGCAGGGGGGCACCTGCCTCTGTATGTCTCCTGACTTAGGACAACAGAACATAGATCTGGAGTCCCACAGATGGAGTCCTAATCCTAGCCACACTTTGGAGTGAACTGAACAAGCCTCTGCCCTTTCTGGGCTTCAGTCCCAGCACCCATAACATAGGCCTCACAAGACCAATCCACGAGGCCTCCTGGGCACGGGGCTGCTGAGCAAGGGAGCAGGTGAGCCTGTACCCACCTGTGGTGAGCCCGACAATATAAAGGGTAGGGACTGCAATTCTTGAAAGGGCCAAGCCTGGGCACAGTGGCTCAGGCCTGTAATCCCAGCACTTTGGGAGGCAGAGGTGAGAGGATTGCCTAAGTCCAGGGGTTCGAGACCAGCCTGGGCAACTTGGTAAGACCTCATCTTTAAATAAATCAAAAAATAAGTTGGGCATGGTAGCACACACCTGTAGTTCCAGCTACTTGGAAGGCTGAGGCGGAAGGATCGCCTGAGCCCAGCATGCTCATGGCCACTGCCGGACTGGGCAACAGAGACTCCGACTTCAAAAAAAGAGAAAAGGCCAGACCCGGCAGTTAACGGGGTGCAGGAGCTGACGTCAGGAGGTGAGAACCAGCTCACAAAGAGGGGCCCCTGGAAGGCCAGATGCTGCTCTCTGACCTACCATCCTGAGTGGCCCAAAGTATCCTAATTGGGTTGCCACCTCTGACATGGGCATCGAAGTAGATACAGAAATGCCTGTGGCCCCCACTGCAACAGGTTGGAAGGATCCCCTTGGTCAGAGGCACTGAAGTTCAGTGGGTAAAGCCCCACATCCCACCCGTTGTCCTGTAGTGGCAAGCCCCACTCCCAGACCCAAAAATAGGGGCACCAGCTCAGCCCTAGACACCCGCTGGGAAATCCCTTCCAGCTTTCACCTCTCCAGGTCCACCGAGTTTCCAGCCGCCTCCTCCTGTGCCTGGGGTGACACAGATGACTCGGCTCCTCTTCTCTGATGCCCTCCACATCTGGGATCACTCCTCCACCCAGTCTTCAGTGCTGTTTCCTGATTGCTTCCATCTCACCTCCCACTTGTCCCCCTGCCCATCCCCACCTAACAGGACAAAACGCTGACAGACTTTGGGGTGCCCGGTGGGACGCCTACATTCCAGATACAGGTTGGCCTTCAGCTCAAAGGTCACACCTCCTCTCTGGGCCTGTTTCCTCTCCTGTAAGCTGAGAAGCCAGAGGGGTGCTTTTCAAACTCCATTTTGGTGGCAGGAACCCTTTTAGGAAGTCTAACGCTGGTTCTAAGAGTAGTAGAAGAATAAAGATGGAGCTGCTCTGATTACAGGAGGGTATGGATGCACCTAGCCCCACTTACCCAGAAAGCAGCCCCCAGAGCTCCCTGGGGCACAGCAAAGCTAGAAGCCCTGGGTGAGGCCTCTGACGTCCTCCATCTGCCACAGCAGTGCCAGGAGAGGCCCTAACCATCTCCTTCCTCTGCCTCAAGGGAGGCTTTGACAACACTGGTCCCTTCCCACCCATCCCCGGGCCCAGGTGACCCCTAGGCTAGCCCTCTGCATCAGGCCCCAACTTCCCCTGCTGGTCTCCCTCCAGTGAACTTGCCGTCCACCACTCAGCCTCAGACAGCCTCCTGGCCTTGTGACCCAGCCTTAAACTCCCTGTGGACCCCTCTGGCTTCCCCAGCCCCAATCATCCAATGCCAAGTTCTCCTCCCTCCAGACCCCCTGCCGCTCCACTCTCCTCCAGCCGTTGTCCTAGCTCCTTATGCCTCGCCCTCTCCCAGCCCTCTCCACGCCAACACCACTTTCGCAATGCCACCATCAGACCTCAAAGCTCCTAAGGTCTGTGGAATGAGGCTCTAACTCTCAGCTTGGCACTGGCGGCCTCCACAATAGGCACCAACCAGCCTTCCATCTTGTGCCCCCGCCAGTGCCCACCCACAACGCCCTGCTCAGCTCAGCGCCCGCCTCTCAGAAAGCCTCTCTGAGAGCCCCCTCATGTGACCTCCCCTTCTAGAAGGCTCCTCCTGACCAGGGCCCAGATCCCAGAATCTTTTTATCCTTCAGGCAATGGTGTGCTGACTACAGACGTCTGATTGTCAAATTTTCAGGAATTTTATGATGCAGTTGTTCAGCATGGCCATTGTTAAAAACTACATTTCTATACTTACAATGAATTCCATTAAAAACAAGGTAATAGGTACTCAAAATGTATCACTTCCTAATTATTTCACTTTATTTTATTATTATATATGCTCTGGAGGTTATTCACGTCTATTATATCTGCATGGTAGAATTACTATAGAATGGTGTGACATCTCTCCCCAAGTCCATGTTCAGAGACTTCACGCTGGCAGCTTGACATCAGTCATAGTGGGAGTATTTATACCATGGAAATTGGTAAACGTTACAAATCAGAGCTTAATTTATCTTTTTGTTGACTGTCTCGACTTAAGAAAGTGATGAGAAAATGTTAATAATGCAGATGAAACTTGAAAGTGTGTCATATCAATAACCATGACATTGTAAATAGAACAAAATATTGCAGAACTATTTTTAGTAGAATATTCTCAGTAGAAAACTATTATCCGACTCAGCAAAGAAGTGGCTCATAACACTGACCAAGTAATATTTTGATACATGAGTATGTCTTCTCATCTTACTCATTAGCATAAACAAAAGTGTCAACCCAACCAATATGCAAGTTAGAACATCTGTTTGTTAATTAGTTATGGATACAAAAGTATAGAAAAGTCACAGAAAGCATTTTGAGCAAAACCCATCTGCTATGTGGAATTCACAATAAAAAGTACTATATAGTTTTTATTAGTAAATTATATACTAAACATCTTTTGTATCAACATAATGTATAATAAATTTATAGAAGTATATGTGTACACGTACACACACACACACACACACACACACACACACACACACACACACACACACTTTTTCTGGAGAGCTAGTTGTCACAGTTGTGTTCCCAGACATAGCCAAAAGTGTTCCCAGACATAGCCAAATGTCCCCAGGGGGACAAGATCACCCCAGCTGAGAACTGCTGCCCTAGGCAGAGGGTGTGTTCCCTGAGGGCATGGAGGTGCCCGTGTCCTGCAGACCTCCTGTGTGGGGCCTTGGCCTGGCAGGCATGGGCAGAATTTCCCGGTGTTTAGGGAGCAACTCTCAGGGTCACTGGTTCCCGACTTCCCAGGGTGAGGGGAGGGTCCAAGTGCAGAGCGCCACACAAGAACTCACACATAGCTCTGTGGTCAGCCGGACCCACGCTCAAATCCCACCTTTGACACCTGCAGGCGAGTGACCTCGGGCAAGTCACATAACCTCTCAAGAGCTCAATGGCCTTGTCTGTAAAATGGGCACAGTGATCATGCCCACCAGCTGTGGGGAGATTAAATAAGATGATGCATGTCAAAAGCCTCACACAGGTTCTAGCACACAGGAGGGGCTCCCAAAACCTTGGCTTTTCTGATAACACAGCAACCAGAAAGCTGCCCCCAATTCCCCAAAATAGTTTCTCAGTCTTACCTGGGAAATATAGCCTGGGGGGACGTGGCCGTCCTCCTGGGATCTGGGTGTGTTCGGAGGAGTTTCTCCTCGGAGACGCCATGTCTCCAGCTGGGCCCGAAGAGACTGGACCTATGAGGGAGAAGGCACAGTCAGTGGGAAGGCCCTGGAAGCAGAGAGGGGCTGCTGGGAGGCGGTGAGGAGCCCACAGGCTTCCTTCCAGCTCTACACGGATGCCAGCCCAGCATCCCAGGGTCCCTGTGAGGCTTGGGGACAGCTCTGGGTTTGAGAAAGGCAAGGAGCCCTGGCACGGAGATGTGGGCAAGGGGGACATTCTGGCTGTTTCCTGGATGACCGGGTCAACAATCTGGGACAGCTTTGGCCCAGAGAAGACTAGACAGGATTGGCAACAGGACGTCATGATCACAGACATCTGCATCATGTAGGTGGCAGGGGAAACACCTTTGAGCCTGTTTCCCACCAGTAAAACTGTGAAGAGCTCAACTCTACAGGGCATGAACCTGCTGTGAGGATAACGTGAGCCAACGTAGGTAAAGAGGCTGCATGCAGAAGCTGCACAATAAACAGTCTCGCCTTCTCTTCCCCCTTCCCTTCCCTGTGGCTGCTAAGGGCAGAACTAGAAAGGACAAAAACCACAAGGTCCAGGGAAGAAGCTTCCAGCTCACAAGAGTGTAAGGTGCCAGACAGTGGGCCAGGGGCAAGCGCCCATTACTGGGGGGAAGGAGGGGTGCTGGTGGGTGAGGGGGGTCCTGGTGAGGCCAGCCTGGCACCTACCTCCTTCTCCAGGGCCTCGTGGCTGTCACTCGGTGGCCCCCGGCGCTCCCCGCGGCTCTGGTTGAGGAGGGCGGTGAGCGGCACCCGCCTGTTCTCCCGCAGAGGCAGTTTCTCCAGCTCCTGCCACTTCTTCTCGATCTCCTCGCTCAGCCGGCTCTGCTGGTCCTCGGTCAGGGGGGCGCCCAGTCCCCGGCGCGGTCCCTCACCAGCAGGCACCTCGGGCGCCCGGCTGTCGGTGGCCTCGAACCACTTGCGCCGCTCCTCGGAGCGCTGGGCCAGGTCCCGCTCCAGCTCCTCCTGCTTGGCAGGGCGGTCGGGAGCACGGGCCGGGGTGCGGGCTCGCTGCGGAGAGCCCTGGGTCAGCGGGGAGAGCTCCACGTAGTCCAGGGACTGCCGCTGCCCATCTACCTTCCGAGGAGCTCCCCGGCTGATGACTTCGGAGCCTGCCTGCTGCTCCCCTGCCTTCAAGGGTCCCTTCTGGGTGCCATAGCCGTGCAGCGTGTTCTCCTTGTTACAGTCCGAGAGCCTACGGCACCAGCAGAGCCGCGTCAGGGGGGCCTTGCCTGCTCAGTCCCACAGTGGGCATTTCTGGAGTGACACCTGTGTGCCAGGGGCTGGGACAGATCCAGGGAAGGAAGCAGCCCAGCCTAGAGGTTGAGAACTAGAGCTTCACGGTTAACAGACCCTGGGAACACCCCAGCTCCACCACCTGCCAGCAGAGGGACCAGGATATCTGGTTTCCTTTGCTCTCTCTGAGCCTCAGTTACCTTGTCTGTAATATGGGACAATGCCTCTCACAGGATGGGCATGAGGACTAGGTGGGTGAATGGGGAAAGCAACCAGGAGACTTTGCAAATGGTGACCAATGAGTTTAAAATGTTGGAGAAAATGTCCCGGGTTCAGGAGGCTTCCAGTGGAACAGGGGAGGCGTGTGGTCACAGCTGGTGAGGTGAAGACAGGGACCTCTGGGTGCACAGACAGGGGTGGAGGCGCTGAACTGTGGCATGTCTCCTTTTCCACAGTAACTCAGCTGGGTACGTGGTCACCCAGTCCAGAACTCCACTTCCCAGCATTCCCTGCAGCTACATGTGCCTGCATTCTACTCAGCAGGCATGATGGCTGGCTCCCTTTAAAGGGCGGGGCCAGCCCTCACCTGGCCCTGGCTGGGACTAAGCAGTCCCTTCTGGACCAAGGGCCACATTGTGAGAGGAGGGACTGTACTGTATTCACTGGACTGTTCTGGAGAGAGAAATAAACAAGCATCCCGTTTAAGCCACCGTGTCTGGGGTTTCTGTTAGAGCAGCTGAGCCTACGTACTAAATGCGAGTCCAACTGCACAGTACATCAGAGTTTACAAGGGCTCCGGGCACATCCTCATACGCCTACAGATGTGACGTGCCAACCTGACAGATGAGGAAGCTGACAACAGAAGGGAAAGCCTCTGGCCTGAGGCTGAGCAGCCGGCGTATCGTCAGGCTGGGGGGCTCACGCTCAGCTCCCTTCGATCCCATGCTCTGCTCCTGCTGCCCAGCAGCTGCAAGTCCCAGCACCCATGGCCTCGAGGGATCACACTGTGCCATCAGGTAACTCAGCCCCCTAACCACTACCTATGGCCTCCAGTAGGAGTGAGCTCCCCATCCCAGGAGGGTGTGCACTCAGGCCACATTACCTAGCCTCCCCTCCCTAACTCAGGCTTAGACATGGTCTCCACAGCATAGAGACAGGACATGCACTCGGCAGGGGCTTGTGACTCACAGGCGTCTTCTCCAAAGAGCGGAGGCCCGTTCCCATGCTTTCAGGACGTGGGGGATAAAAAGGGACAGCAGGTCAAACCTCAACTCATCAATGTATTTCTGGGTGAATGCCAAGAATGCTCACGACCCTGGTCCCGTCTTGTTGGTAGAGAAACTGAAGCCCAGGGGGTACAGCCATGGGGCCCGCGGGCAAACGCCCAGAAGCTCATTCAAGGATGCAAGAGTAAGCACCTCCCCCAAGGCCTCAGTTTAGCTCAGCACATACTTGGTGACATCTGGGGCTGAAGTTGGACGCACAGTCTTCCTCAGAGCCTCGATCCAGTTCCGCCGGATGCCTGAGGTCATGGCCGACAAGGTATAGACAGCGTCCTTGGTCTGCAAGTCCACCCCACGGATAGGTTGCCACATGACCAGCCCCATGACTCCCTCCCCACAGTGGACCCGGGGGGGCGGCCCTTCCTTCCCAAGAGGGTGTCTAAGGTCTCAAGTCTGGAGTGGGCAGAGTGCAAAACCTCCCCTCCACCAGCCTACGTAGAATCCTGCCGGCTGTAGAATCTTTCCCCAGATATGCTAAGTGCTGGTACTAGAGCTTCTGCCAGGCTCTGAGGACAGGGTCTCTGGGTAAACAATGGGGAGCCAGGCTCGATGGCGAGCCACGTTCAACTTCCTCTGGGAGCTTCCAGACATGCTGCCTGCCACCCCCCAGCGGCGCACAGCCTCACGTGGATCTGGAAGCCATAGTTGCGCTGCACTGCATACTCAGTGACGTCCGTGCAAGAACGCAGGTCGATCTCACCATCCAGCTCATCTGCCTGCAGCAGGAGGGCCCACCATGACGATCCAACATGAGCCCCAGGGAGACCCACTCTGCTGACCGCGCCCAGGCCGCCCAGCCCCTTCCAGGGCCCATCAGCACCCAATGGGAAGAGCAGGCCCCCTGCCCCGTTGTCTCACCTCCTCAGCGGTGGAGTCTCTGTAATACTTGAGGCTTGAGTCCGTCAGCACAAACCAATGCTTCTTCCACTGCGGAGTAGAGGTGGTGGTGAGCGGGCGGGAGGGAGGCTGCAGGGAGGTGGCATGAAAGAGCCCATGTGTGCAATTCTGCAGATGTCCTGGGTGGCTGCCAGGCAGGCCATTCTGCACATAGCAGGAGCAGGGCAGCAGCTCAGAGTCAGAAAATTCAAACAAGGCCTGTCCCATTTCCTCTCTGAGCCCCAGGAGTGGCATCTGCACAGCGGGTTGGCTTTCACTTCATAACCACACCCTCCCTTTCCTTCTGGAGTCCTTCTCTCATTTGCTGATGCTCCTAGACCCCTCCTGAAGATTGTCAAGGCTCCTCAGGTGCTCGTCCCCACCCAGTACAGAGCAGGGAGGGGTCGCGACCTGCGTAAGGTCACTTGCCTAGCAAGTGAGGGACCAAGTGGGGCCAGAACTTCCCAAGTTTTTTTCCATATGCCTCCCAGGTCATCACAGTGGTCAAGGATTGAAGGTCCCCCAGGGAGAAAGACTGGAAGGTAGCCTGAGGTAGGTGTCTGAGTACTGGCCATGTCTGTTTCTTGATCTTTGTGCTGGTTACTCACATGTGCCGTGTGTGAGAGTCACTAATCTGCACACTTATGACTTGGGATTTGGGCACCTTTCTGCAGTGTCTCTCTCTGCTCCCCGGGCTAGGTTGGCAGGACACGTGGGAAAGGATGGGGGCACCGGAAGAGCCTGATTTGCCTACAGCAAGCTTAGCCCGCCTCTGGGCTTCTGCTCACCCCTGCTGGAATGCTAGTTGAGGTCCGCCCACTGCCAGGGTCAGGGCATGTCACCCAGTCCCCAGCTCTCCTGGAGTTCTCCCACATCACCAAGCCCTGTCTATGCTGTTTGTTGTTTCAAGTACTTAGTTTTCTTTCCTCAAGAAGATGGAAAGTTTTTAAGGGTGTGCAAGGATGACATTTTATACTCCTTTCCACATGGTCTCCCTAAGAAACGGGGTTTTAGCACTCAAGAGACCGAGGCTATACTGTTCTTTTCCTAGCTGTGTGCCTTTAGACAAATGTCTCCACTTCTCTGAGCCTCAGTCTTCTGAGCCCTAAAGCAGGGCTCCTAAGAAGTCCCTAAGCCTTCTGGTTAGGTCAGAAGTGCCTAGCCCCCCCTTGAGGGTCTCTCAGCACTTGGTATAGACACAGGCACCAGGCAGCTGGGGCCTGTTCTAAGAAGCTGGCCCTCTTAGGCTCATTCTGCTCTCACGAGTGGACTGAGGTGCTGCCAGGGACATAACTGCTCCTCAGTGACACAGGGCAGGGGTTCTATGCCCAATGATGTCTTTGCTCCTTCCGGGCCTAGTCTATGATAGCCTGGGATGGGAGCTGGATGGAGCTCCATGGGCTTCAGTCACCCCAAATGTTAGGCCTGGGTCTGCCCAAGGTGCTGCCAGGCCTGGAGGAGATCAACATGCTCGTGGCCCTGTCTCCTGTCTGTGCACCAAGAGCCGGGGCTGACTGAACTCTTAGGGCACTTCCAGCTAGGACATTCCAAACCCTTGCAACAGGCGATGAATAGCAGCCAGTTCGAGGCGGGGCCCATAATCCCTCTGCCCTCCGGGGACCCTGGGTGGGGAGGCCGGGGAGGGGTCGCTGGCAGAGTGCCAGGCCTTGTGTGAGCCTGGAGAGCAGCCACCAGGGCACAGGCGGGCAGGCAACGGGTGCGGAAGGCTGTGGGCTGGAGGGAATAAAGCATGTGGGCTGGAAACACAATGAGATTCCCGCTGGCTCGGAGCCTTCCCGGCATGCGGACTGCATGCAGACCCAAGCCACAGGCGCACGCAGGGCAGGGGTGGGAGACGCTCTCTCCCAGGCAGGGTGGGCAGGGAGCCAGCTCCAGCTCCCAGGCTCTGGCCTGGCAGTGAAAGCGCAGAGCTGGTAAAACGGACCCTGTCCCTTCTGGTTCTGAGGACAGATTCATCAGAGAAAGGGAAGGGTCATCAGCTGAGCTCACAGTGGGTACTTGATCTCTGTGACCACATTATCCATCATGCCCATGTCACAGATGTGTCCACTGAGGCCTTGAGGAACTGACAGGACTCTGGGCTGGTAAGACGTCAGCGCCTGGGCCCTGAGCCCCACTCCTATGGCTGGATCTTTGGGAATCTGTATGTCTCAAGCCAGTGATCTCTGTGCAAGGGCCTGGGAGACCCTTAATTCCTGCCAGGAGCATCCTGAGGTGGGAGGGCCAAGAGGCTGTTGTTGAGAACAGGGGACAGGGCATGGCCTGGGAGGGGCTAAACGGTCCCTGTTACACACTGACACACTGGGGATGGCTCCAGGAGGCCCAGCGATGGCTAGCAGCCTCCCCTCTCCCTCCCCTGCCCCCACGAGACCTCCCCCCACACCCAGAGGCCAGGGCCTCTAGAAGGCTACAGGGCCCAGCAGCGGCACAAGCCAGCCTCCTCCTCTCCCGCCTCTGCCCTCCTACCTCTCCGGGTGCATCCAAGATGGACATCCATCCCTTCTTGAAGTTGAGCAGATCGGGCTATGGGGAAATGAGGAGACTGATGAGTCAGGCCCAGCAGGAAGCTAGAGCTGGTGAGGAGGGCTGCTGCGCCCACCCTGCCCCCAAGTCCTGGGAGGCCAATGGAGAGGGCAAAGGGCCCAGGGAACCCCCTCAAGTCCAAGCAGGCTCCCCAGCCACCGAGACAGCCCTGGCCCCTTTCCCAACATCCAGCATCCTCAGAGAGTCAAGAGGCTGGGCCGGGTGGCTGGCACAGGCAGCACAGATGCCCACGCTGCCTCCCACCAGGCCACCCCTCACCCAAGAGTGGGAGAGAAGGGCCGAGAGAATGCTGCCTGTGAAAAGAGACCAAAGAGTGCTCAGGGGACATCCCAGAGTAGCAGGGCACAGTGAACTGTCCAGTTTCTCTGATGAGTCTAGGCGGCTATTTTCACGCTCCTGCCCACACAACCCATGGACTCTCCTGTGTTCTAATCAGTCCTGCCCTTCCCCCATCACCTAGAGACCCTGAAGACAGAGCCAGTCCCAGGCTAGGGTCAGAAACCCTCTGGCGCTCTCCAGATCTCTTTAGGAAGGCCAAGGCAATGGGACCTCAGCCTTGGCAAGCCCTACCTTCTGAGCGCTGCGCACTGGGGTACCACCCCAGGACCTGGGTGCTCCCAGCTGCAGCATATTCCGTGGGGGCCCGTGCCAGGAACTCCTACCCAGGCCTAGATGAAGACACTGCTCATCCTGGCATCTTTCTGACCATGCCCATCTGGTGTGTGCTAGCCACCAGGCCCCTCTGCCCGCTGGGGAGACCTCTCTTATCCAGGTCCTGGTCCCTTTGCTGTGTCTCAGCTCCTGCCCCTGGCAGGAGGAAAGCAGGGCGGGCCAGGCTGGTGGGCAGGGAGGAGGTGGCCACCTGTTGCCATGGCTCTGAGCCCACCTATCAGAGCCTCCATCGCAGCCTCCCCAGGCCAAGGTGTCTGGTTGCGTGGAGGGAGCCTGTCGCATGGCTCAGTGGGGTGGGCGGTGACAGTGGCAGCTGGAAACCAGAGCCACCTGACCTGGCCACCTCTCCTGACCCACCTCCTCTTGGGGAGCCCCTTCTCAGGTGGACAAGTGGACCAAGAGGGGCTTGGGCAGCTGTGGGTCCAGAACCATCCAGTCATGGTCAGGGGACTTTGGCAGCTGGCAGTGCCCCCCCGCCATACCTGTCTGAGAGAAGGGACACAGGCCCTGCTCAGAGCTGGCAAACCCGGCTGTGTTCATCAGGTCTGCTCTCTATTCTGCCTGCCCTGTCTACTACCTGGGACAGAGGCTGTCCAGAGTGGTCCTAAGCTAAGACAGAAGACTAGTGACCACACCTGACTCCACTTCCCTCCAGTCTGGGACCTCTTGTGGCCCTAGGGCCTGTCATGGGGCCTGGCTACAGCAGGCCCCAGGGAAAACTTGCCAAGTAAATATCTACCCTCTTCTACATCCCTGGTCTAAAGTCTTGTGCTTTGGGGGTAGCTCCCACAACCCCCACCTGGCCCCGAGGAGTCAGGCTTTCTGGGCCCATGGAGCTGGCATCACTGGGCTGACCCAGGAGAGAGCCCCTGCGAGGGCTGAGCAGATGACGCAGCAGACAGGACTAGGCCAGGACTGGGAGATCAGCCCCAGGCTCCGAGAGGCCAGGATGACAGGCTGGGATCCCTAGGGCTGCCTGGGAAGTAGGGTTACTATGACCTTCCTGAGTCATAACCTCTCTCTGAGCCCTGACTGTCTGATGTTGCAAGGGATGGGGGATCCTACCCTCCCCCAGCTTTCCGAGGGGACCGAATGTGCCTGTACACAGAGAAGCCTGGTGACTCTTCACAGGCCAGTACCGATGCACTGCATGCTGTGTGAGGTATGGCACGGTGACCTTGGGGAGTGGAGGCCACCAGCATGAATTTTTAAACCCTCTGGCAGGGAAACCTGCTCCCAGGGTCGAGAGGTCTGAGAACCTAAATCTCTCACCTGCAACCTTGACCGGTGCTTCCCCAGCACCTTCACCAGCAGGAAGCTCAGTTTCCCCTTCCTTTCAGGAGCACTGACAGGTTCTCACAGGCCCTGCGCCCACCTTGGCCGCATCCCACCTCCCACCTGGACCACGGACACAGCCCCCTCTGAACACTCTCACTCAAAAAGACCTAACGTCACGCCTGCTTAAAATCTCCAGGGGTGGCTCCAGTTGCCTTCAAAGCAAAGCCCAGCAGCCTTGGGATGGCATAAAAGCCTCAGTACATCCTTCTAGCCTGGCCTCTTGTGGTTGAGGGGCCCTGTGTTTAAACTACCTCGCAGCCCTGGCTCATCCCAGCACACCAGGCTCCAGGCCCTTCACACATGCCGTGTCCTCGGCCTGAAAGACTAGGCTTCCTTTTCTTCCAATGATCAGCAGAGTTCCTACCGAGGCCTTAAGACCTGGCTTAACCACCACCTCTGAGGTCCCTTTCCCAGCACACATGACATACCGCACTGCCAGCTGCCCCCTGCGCTGCCCTTCCCCAGCCCTTGGCGAGGTCTCTGTCACATCGTGACTATATCAAAGTCATTTATGTACCCCTCACAGGCTACAACAGATGCAGCTCATGGTCAGGGACACACGCTATTTACTCCCCTGGACCCAGCACCGACAAGGGCTCAGGAAGTGTTTGCAGAAATAAACCATTAAAAAAAAAAAGCATCAGGCACTGTTCTAGGCCAGGAAATCAGCTGTAGACGACAGCCATGGCCCCTGCCCTGGTGGATCTTAGGAGAGAGGCAGACAGTAAAAAAGTGAACAAGTATATAATTTGATGCCGGCAGTGGCGGCGGAAGGAGGCTCCAGGGGCAAAGCTGTGCTAAGGCTAAGGCAAAGCGGGTGGAAGAGGAGCCTGACTCCAGGCCAGACCCAGAGTGAGCAGCTCTCTGAAGCTGCCGAGCATTCACCACTACACACCTGTGCCACCTGCAGAAGGAGATCAGTTCGGAGCAGGCTCAGGTCTGAAGGCAGCCTGGGTGAGCCCAGTGAATACCACTAATGGTGGTCAGGAGCCTCCTCTCTGCTCTCAAACCTTCCATGGCTCCCTACTGCCCCACCAAAGCCCAAACTGCTTTCCCTAGCCTCAAGGTCTTCCTCCCTGGCCCCTTCTCTATGCTCCTGCCACTCCCCAAACAGGACCTCTAGCCTTTATCCACACTGCTGCCCCCTGCCCAGTCCATCTCTATTTGACAAGGTCCTACAGTCACAGGAGAACACCTCCCTTGGGAAGCCCTCTTCCACACACCCTACATGCTGCTTCCAGCAGCCCTACCCTTGCTTGCTAGTACTGCTCCGGGAAAGGCAACTGTGTACATTTCTTATCTCACCCAGGAATGAAAACTGGGACAGACCTGGATACAAATTCTGGCTCAGCCAGCATCCGACTGTCTCCTCACATGTGACTTCCACCTCTCACACCTCAGTTTCCTCATCTGCCTGATGAAGACACTACACTAACCTTCAAGGATCAAACCTGTAATGTGTGCTCCGTGGGCAATGCTACCACCCTCCTCCTGGACCCTGGACACTGACTCAGCTCCTCCCCCCACATCCCTCTCTGCTCCTCATGGAGCCCATGCTGACGACAGGAAGGGCCAGCAGGGAGGTGGCAGGATGTGCGGAGGCCGAGGAAGTCCAGGCGCAGCAGCCAGGCCATCAGGCTCACAGGGCAGGGGCCAAGCATGCCACGCCCCCCCGCAGGAGCCCAGCCCACTCCTCATCAGGGACTCCATTCTCTTGAAGGGGGATTCCCCCCACACATGTACATACACACACTCTGCTCATCCTCCCCCCAGGAGGACCACCAGGCTGTCAGAGCCTCCCTGAAGCACTAGCCAGAAATCAAAAGCAGCCCCACCCTTCCCTTCCAGAACATCATGGTCAGGTGCCAGACTGACCTAGAAAGGGACTACTTCTCTTAGCACTTGGGACGACCTCGGGTAACTCACCAATGCCCCTCCCCGAGCCTCAGTTTATCTGGCTGTGAAGTGGGGAGCATAGAGAACTCAGTTGTGAAGCTCAACATGGTAATTAAGGCACAGGTAACTGATAGAGCTTGGGTAGAGCTCACCCGCAAGGTAAGCCCTGCCATCGTGCCTCCAAACCCCACTCGCAGCTTGCCCCACCCAAGGCCCCAGAGCCACTGCAAAGTGGCAAGCCCGGGAGAACCTGAGATCTCGCCGCTTCAGACGTCCCAAGATGGGCTCCCGGACACGGGGTGGGGCGGTCCGGCCCCTTCTCACCCACCCACCTCGGGCCAGCGCCCACACGGGCGGCCAGCCTTCCCAGGCCCGGATCAGCACGCCCCATCCGAGCCAGGGAGCGCCTCTTCCCAGACCAGACCCGGGAGTTCCTGGCTGCTTGGGGAAATCGGGTCTTCCCCTGGAGCGTTGGAGGGCTGGTGGGAAAGGGTGGCCTCGAACCCACCGTGGCTGGTGCCGCAAGAGTGAGGAGGGGGTGCCCGGGACGGGTTGTTCCCATCTCCTCGGAGTCGCTGGGGCTCCGGGGACGAGTCGGAGGGGGAAGGTGAGCAGGAGGCTGCGGGTACGGTAAGACAGGTCCCGCCGCCCCGTGCTCCGAGGCCACCCTGTCTTCCGGCCGAGACCCCCTCTCGCCTCTGGAAAGTAAGGAGGGGGCTGCCCGGGAAGGACCGGTGCGGCGTGCCTCGGGCCGTCGCCTTCCTCCTGGCTGGGGCGCAGGGGGCCGCCCGGGGGGCACTCACCGTCATGGCGACGCCCCGGGGCGGCGGGAGCGGAACGCAGGGAAGCGGGAGGGGCTCTCGGGCCGGGCTCCGCGGCGCGGGGACCCCGCCGCCGCCGACCCTCTCGGCAGCCCGCCGCCGCTCCGGCCCTTCCCTTCCCCGGCGCTGCCCCGGCCCCGTCCATCCGCCCATAAAACTTTTTTTTTTTCAAACTTCCTGGGAGGACCCAGGCGGGCCAATGGGCGGCGGGAAAACCGGGACAAACAGCGGCGGGGCCGCGGGCGGGCCAATGGGAGCGCGGGACGGGCGCGGGGCGGGGCCTGTGCGACGGGACGGGCGCGGGCGGGGCGGCCGGCGGGCGGGGCGGCCGCGGGTGCGCGGGGAGGAAGGAAGGGCCCAA